CTGATGGAGACCTTGATTAATCACAGTTTTTTTCAGGCATAAACCTTTAGTCTTGCTGTCTCCTTTTGATGGGTTTATTGGCAGATGGAATAGTCCATATTAGCATTAAATTTGGGCCACAATAATAGTGGTTGTTACTGTACACTGAGAGAGTATTACATAGAATTGCAATACTTGCTGCAGACTGTAGACCTTTTTTTCTTTCTTTTGTTTTCTTTAACACTAGCATTCATCTTTATATAACATTAATTGTCCAGAAAAAGTAGATCTGTTTTCTGACCTTTCAATTACATTACAATATTAGTACATTTTTCTTACCAGTACCTCATCCTGATAGACAGAGCTGTGTGATGAAGTGGATTTTTTCTTGGTATCATGGCCCAAATCACATTTATGTGAGTTCAGCTTATTTGGCTGATTCTTATACTTGACTGATATGTTCTTTTTCCCAGTTTATCCCTATTGTTCAAACTAAGAGTGAAAAAAAGCCTGCTGTAAATGGGAGCTACGTTGCTCAGATAAATCCTGCAGATAAAGGGTGTCTGCTTGAGAAGTACAGCAGTAAATACACTGATTGTGAGTTTGGATTGTTGGCCAACCTTTATGCCAGCGAGGGCCAACCTGGTAAGGTACGTAGTTCCACCTATGGTGACTTTGCAGTGCGTGGTGACTGAATGGAAACTCATGGTTCTCCTATCAGTGTTCTGTGATAATAGTAAAGTAGTAATTTCACAAGGGAAACATGCAAAAATAAGGACCTGATGCCAGTGATTGAGGGAAAGAATTAGTGGAGACAGAGGCATTTGCTTTTTTGAGGGATAGGTATTAGTTTACAAAAACTTTTCCAATCATTCATCCAAATCCAATCCAAACTAGCAGTGACAAGGTAATAGTGCAATGTACTTGTGTAAATGAGACGTGGGCACTTAGGTAGATTTTTGCACAAGTGTTTCTCCTGACACAGCCAGCACAGTGCTGGCAGAACAGTCGAAAACCTGAGTGTTGCATGGAAACTGTACAGTCTTCTCTGTTACCCAGTGTTTCTTTATGACACAGTGGAAACCAGCTGGTGGACAGCAGGAAGTTGCTCAAGTCACTGTCCCATGTATAGGTAAATCTCTTGCTGCCCAGCTTCCTTTACAGGCAAAGCTAGCATTGAACAGAACTAAGGAAAAGCAAGTTGGTCACATACTGGAAAGATGGAAGCGCAGCGGTGCTTGCATGGAAGCTTATCTTTTCAAAAAGTGATCTTGGGTTATCAGCTTGGGAGAATTTCAGAACAGCTTTCACAGACCTTTTCAGCCCCTTGCAGCAGGACACGGCAGTGACAAACTGACTTTATCTTCCAGGTCATTGAAGTGAAAGCCAACGGAAGAACTGGGGAGCTTAACTTTGTGTCCTGTCTGAGACAAACTTTAGAGAAACACTATGGAGAAAAGCCGGTTGGGATGGGTGGTACGTTTATCATTCAGAAGGGTAAAGCAAAGATTCACATTATGGTACGTTGTTCTCAGTGCTTGTAACTCTCTTTGTCCTCCTGAAAACAGAAGTATAAAGCAGGGTGTAACATCTTAGTTCCTTCACTTTGTTTTGTATTTCTAAATGTATGCATAAACTATTAGGATGAGCACCGTATTAAAGTAAGGAGTTGACATTACAAAATCAGTGTTACAAAACTAGTAATTCTGTTTTAGTTGGCATTAATGCCATCATCTTTTGAAATCTGTGTGCAGCTAAATAACTGAGAACTATTGTAAAAGTAATTGAAATTAAATACATGAACTCACATGGTACTTATAAGAAGCATTAAACTTTGTAAAAAATAACTGAGCTTCTAAAATGTACCAGGAGGAGGGGCATCCTCACTTCAGTAGTTGTGCCACTACCTGTGTAATGAAAGACGCAATATTCCAGACACTTCTGTTTCTGGCAGAAACAGAGTGATGGACACTTTCAGCTTCTTTCAGTCAATAAGGAAATTGAACAAAATAATGGGGAGTGAAAAAGCAAAGTTGCTAGAGAAAAAAATATCTTGATGCAAGTGCCTTCTTTTTACTTAAAAAGTTTTTATTTTTGCTCTAGCCTCCAGAATTTTCTACCTGTCCCCTGGATACTGATGAGGATGTGAATAACTGGCTAAAATTCTTTGAAATGAAGGCTCCACTGATTTGTCAGCCAGTAATAGTTTCCAGAGATCCGGTGAGTCTTTTTTTCTCCTTTCTAAGTATAGACTGAGACCTGTAATGAATTTTTACTTGGATGTGATTTTCCTTTCAAGCATGGAAATGTGTATATATATATTGTGTTCAGCTCTTCCAGAGTTGGGGCAATGATTGAGAAGCTTCTCATTTCTGTGAATTGTTTGAATTATTTGAGTTGAGGCTAGGTGAATCTGTTCTGAAACCTAGTGGTTGTTCATAGTGGATTAATTTCATGGTTCTGTTGCATGTGTGCGAGTGTTTGCATCCCAAACCCAACAGTACAGTTTACATTCACTGCTGATCACACTGGGAGAAATGTCAAGAGCATGGAAGGTGGTTCAGCCACTGTTTATGTAGTTCACTTTCATAACAACTCCTTCTGCTAATGCTGTGTCAAAAGACATGAAGCCTATATCCTTTTGCTGATGTAAATTAAAGTCTGCAGAGCCTCATGCTGGAAACTTATCTAGCATCTTTCACAAGCATCAAGTTCAACAGCAAACAATTCAGGATAAATGCCAATCTGGTTTCAAAGACCATTAAAGTGTTCATAATTAGGAAGACTATTTGTTTAAAAGTAACCAGAAAACCATGGATGAAAATTATTATTTTATAAATAAAATGCAGTCAATAAGTAATATAAAATCATATTTCCAGAGGTAAGTGGGACATAACTGTAGGCTTATATATGTTGAAGGGTGTGATTTTATTGTGTCATTATGTGGCAGCCTTTGGCCTAAGGCTAAACCATATCTTCCTCTAATCCACTGATGCATCCTTTGAAAGCAGCCATCGGCAGCTGCTCCGTTTGGAACCAATGCAGTTTGTGCAGTGGATGTCTTTGGGTTTCTCCTGTCTACATCCACTGCAAGCTCAACAGCACTTGGGCAGGCCTGTGGTTTTGGAAATGTTTGAGTGTCACTACAAGAAGAGCAGCAGACGATGGCATTCCAATGCCATAGCACTATTCACCAGCATTCCCTTGCAGCCCAGGAAACTAATCATGTCCTGGGCTGTGTCAAACTAGATGTGGCCAGGTGGTTCTTTCCCTTATGAGACTCCACCTGGAGTGCTGCATGTGGCTTTGGGGTCCCAAGAAAGATGCAGACCTGTTAGAGCAGGGCCCAAGGAGGGCCATGAAAATGAGCCAAGGGCTGGAGTACCTCTTCCTATGAAGAGAGACTGGGAGCTGACATTGTTCAGCCTGGAGAAGAAAAGGCTCTGGAAAGACCTTATTGCAGCCTTCCAGGACTTAAAGGAGGCTTTTAGAAAAGATGGAGAGCAACTTTTTACCGGGACATGTAGTGACAAAAGAAGAGGCAAGGATTTTAAATTGAAAGTGAACAGATTTAGATTGGATATGTGGAAAAAAAATTTTTAGGCTTAGTATGGAGAGACAGTGGAACAGGTCGCCCAGCAATATGGATCTTCCATCCCTGGAAGTGTTCAAGGCCAGGTTAGATGGGGCTTTGAGCGAGCTGGTTGAATTGAAGATGTCTCAGCCCATGACAAGGTGGTTAGAATAGATGATCTGTGAAGGTCCCTTTGAACTTAATCCATTCTAAGATGCATAAAACTGGTGGTGTTGATCTGATGGTTTAGGATGTTGCTATTTCATTCCCTGTTCTTGCTGTATTCATCTAAGCTGGCTCTCAGAATTGCAGACAGTCCATTTATCACATGGGCCTGTGGCAATTCAGTGCAAAGGGGTTGGATTTCCAGTAGGGGTTCCTTGGTGTAACTGCATTATTTAATCCCAGTGGAAAGAAAGGTGGGGGCAAAAAAGGGTTTAAAAGGACATCTCAGTCAGATTAACACCAAAAGCTGGAGGCTGTCAGGGTTTCTAAATTCTTGGTTTCACAAGTGTCTTGCAAGTTTTCGCTGCATAACGTTTGGAGATGTGTGAAAATGAGCATTAGGGTAGATATCCTGTGATTTTACATGCTGTCCCCATGAACGTGTTGATGTGTGACTTTTACATGCTGTTCCCATGAACCGTGCTTCTGCCTGGTGGCAGGGCTTCGACCTTCGTGTGGAGCACACGCACTGTTTCAGCCACCACGGGGAAGGAGGGCACTACCACCAGGACACCAGCCCGGACAGCGTGCAGTACCTGGGCTACTTCCAGCCCGCCGAGCTGCTCTTCCGCATCGACCGGCCCCAGGAGACGCACCCGGTCGGGAGGGACTGAGCCCGCGGGCCGATTTCATCTCCTCAAGTACACATGCTGATTTTTGTGATGCTTTCCATTATCACTGATCAGATTTAAGAATAAATATGAGAATACATAGCTGCCGCCTTCTTAATTGTGTCAGAGTGCAGAACGTGGAGCATACGTGTCATTGGAGTTGCGACCATATTCAAACGATAATTTAATGGCAACGTTACTGTATGTTTTCCTTTTGTTCGGTTGAGCTTCCTGCGTGGCCACAGCAGACGATGGGGAGCTAGAGATTAAATTATGTTTAAAACGGGACATGAAACCAACTTCTGGTCAAAAATAAGACCGTAGAAGAAATTGGCAGCAGGTCCGACCTTCTTCGCTCGGCACGGCGCCGGCCGCGCTCCTCGCGAGTGCCTCCGGAGGCAGCCGAGCCCGCTCGGCGCCGGCCCCGCCTCGTTCCGATCTCTCTCCGAAAAGGGCCGAGCCCGCCCGGCGCTGGTTCCGCCTCGTTCCGACCTCTCTCCGAAAAGGGCCGAGCCCGCTCGGCGCTGGTTCCGCCTCGTTCCGACCTCTCTCCGAAAACGTTCCCTCGCGAGCGCCTCCGGAAACGGCCGAGCCCGCTCGGCGCTGGCCCCGCCCCCTGCCGAGCGCGGGCGGGGGTCGCTCCAAGATGGCGGGCGTGCCGGTGGTGCGCATCAGCATCGAGTCGGCGTGCGAGAAGCAGGTGCAGGAGGTGGGGCTGGATGGCAGCGAGACCTACCTCCAGCCGCTCTCCATGTCCCAGAACCTGGCGCGCCTGGCGCAGCGCATCGACTTCAGCCAGGGCTCCGGCTCCGAGGAGGACGAGCCGGGCTCGGCGGGCCGGCCCTGGGCCGAGCCGGGCGAGGCGGAGGATGAGGAAGGTGAGAAGGGCCCGAGCCGAGCCCTCCCGCCGGGAGCGGGAGGTGGCGGCCGCCGCGCTGTGGCGGTGCCGGCGAGGCCCCGCGGCTGGTTGGGCCCGGCCTGCCTTCCCCAGGGCTTGGTCACAATGTTGTGACCCAGCCCCAGTAAATTGCAGCGGGAAAGTGCAACAGCAGATTTCGTGTCGTGCTGTATTTCGTGCCGTTATGATCTCGCTGTGGTTCAAACATCAGCCTTACGCCTACCTTTTTAAAGTCCTTTGTTTTTCCTTCCTTTGTTTTATTTTTAGGGTTGGTAAAGTTCCAGCCGTCCCTCTGGCCTTGGGATTCAGTGAGAAATAACTTAAGAAGTGCCTTGACCGAGATGTGTGTGTTGTATGACGTTCTTAGCATTGTGAAGGATAAAAAGTTCATGACTCTAGATCCAGTCGGGCAGGATCCCCTTCCTCCAAAACAAGTATGTTGTACCTAGTTGAGCACTTTTTGTGGCTTGATGCTAATGATTTTATTCCAGTGGATATTTTTTTCACATGTGATCAGTAAAAAGTTTATCAAAATGTTCCTTTTGATGTGCTAGTGCAGTGCTTTGAGGGTCAGAGTAAGGCTGGGATTGGGAGTTCAGGCCAATTTCAGAAGACTCATTGTTGAGGCTCTAAGTCAAAATGCTATTTCCAGCTGTATAGTGGTGGTATGAAAGTAATTCTAATTCTGAATAAATTACTGGACATCCAGCAAAAACAACTTATCAATTACTGTCAGTTAGTTTCTGCTAATAAGAAATAAATATTAATTAAAATTATTCTTAATAAATTAAAATAATAATAATCTTTTGTGAATTAAAGTGCAAGTATCTTCTTGTTGGTTTTGGTACTAGAATCCTCAGTTTCTACAGCTGATTTCAAAAAAGAAGTCATTAGCTGGAGCAGCTCAGATTCTGTTGAAAGGTGCAGAAAGATTATCCAAATCAGTTGCTGAAAATCAAGAAAATAAGCGACAGAGAGACTTCAATTCTGAACTGTTACGACTGAGACAACACTGGAAGCTGAGAAAAGTGGGAGATAAAATTCTTGGTGATCTGAGCTACAGAAGTGCAGGTAAACAGTAGGATCTTTTCACAAGAAGAGATGTTTTATGAAATTGTCTTTTTGTAACTGGAAAAAGAGATGGAATATATCTTAATAAATATTTCAATGTGAATTTATTTATGAGACAGGTTTATAAAGGGAGAACGCTTGTTTTAGTATCAGGGGAAATATCTTGGCATCTTCAATCCAGAAAGTAATTTTAAAGGCTGACGTATTTTACTAAGAATTTGTTCACAAAAACAATACTGCATTTGCAATGTAGTTGATCAGTTGACAGGCAGGCTATGTAAATCCTTGGCTTTTATCTATGTTTGGTGTGTAAAGCATTAAGGAAAAAAGTGAAGAGTTGGTTACATTTTTATTAATCAAAGATCAGAAATTCCTACAGTATCTCAAGTTAGAAGGGACCCAGAAGGCTTTTGATGTTTAACTCCCTACTCCCCAGAATTCACACCAGGTAAAACTAAACCATGTGATTAAAGAGTGATGTTGAAGGTAGATTATTATACCTGTTATTCCTACAGTTGAGAATTGATGCTGAGAAGATGCCTTAATTCAAGGATTACATTTAAGGGGGGTGAGCAGCCCAGGGTTCTAGAGGCCGTTATGGAGTGACAAAGTGAGTACAGAATCACACAGAACAGAGGATGTAGGTACAAAGCAGACATGAGGACGGGAGTGTTGGGTTCCTATTGTCATTGGTGGTGGGGGGAAGGACAAATTGAGATTTATTAATGAAAAAGCTGTAGATGTACTCTAGGCTATATATCATGTTTAGTTGATTTACCCTGGACTAGGTGAGCTGTGCCTGGGATGAAAAAGGTGTGTAGCTAGGAGAGATGTGGGTATCTGCTTTTATCAGTCACTGAATGACTGGCTATCTTTTCCAGTCAGAACATGGTCATAATTTTAAGATTTCTTGGCAAACATCATCAGAATTCCTTTAAATCAATAAGGCTGTTGTACCTTTAACTACCTGCTTGCAAATCTTCACACATTTACTTTTTGCTTTTTTTTTAACCAAATATCTTTTTTTTGCCTTCCTTGCACCTAATGACTCAATTTCAAAAAACTCTTGGCTTCCTCCCACAATTATTAAATACTCTGTGTTAACGTACTGTAAAATATTACACATTGACATGCTGTTACAGTGGCATAAGCTTTCTAATTTACCTGGGTTTTTTTTAAGATGTCATTAAGAAATGTGAATCAAGTGCAGCTCTGAAGATTTGGAGACTCAGAAATGCATATTCTCCCAAAACAGAAATAGGAGCTTTTTAATTTGAAGAGGGTGCTTAATATTTTATGTGTATATCTTTGTCCTTCTTTACTCAGGGTCCCTTTTTCTTCATCATGGCACATTTGAGGTGATAAAGAACACTGACATTGACCTGGATAAAAAGATACCTGAAGATTACTGTCCTTTGGATGTTCAAATTCCAAGTGATTTAGAGGGATCAGCATACATCAAGGTTTGTCAGAGAAACCTTAATAACCTAGTGGAGTTTAGTTTCAGATTTGTAACAAAGAACAAACATTTAATACTCTTCTCTCTTGTCTAGGTTTCTATTCAAAAACAAGCACCAGACATTGGTGACCTCGGGACAGTCAATCTCTTTAAAAGACCTTTGCCAAAATCAAAACCAGGTACAGCTTATATGTTGTTTTATGAGTATATTCTCAAGGAATGAGTTTGGATATGATGCTTATTTTAAAATTTCAATATATAGCTGGGAAGAAGAGTAAGACTTCTCTTATTTAAACTGAAATACTCTGGGTGCTGTTTGGGCTTTGGAAGTTAAGCTCTCAAAGCATGCTCCTTCAGTTTTTCATACGTGTTTATTCAGTTCTGAAACAAAATTATTAGGGTTGTATTTTGAGTATTCTGGAGCCTCTTTTGTTAGACATGAAAAGTTTGAGCCCATAACTGAAATCAAATCAAGGTGTTGTGTTTCAGTCAGTTACATCCTATTAATTCAGCTGAACTAATGATTGTTCACTCTTAATTCTGCCCAAAATGCATCATTTGTGTCTGTTGCTCATATGTTTTATATGCATCTGAAATTCTGCTGCTGGTCTGTGTGTTAGTTACCAGCAGCTCACCTGGCAGATAGTACATTGATTCATTTAATATGTGCCGGTATGTGAAGTTGTAAACTTTTGGATTAAAAAGCTATCCTTTACTCTGTAAAGTTAGAAATAAGTGGCAGGGCTTTATTTCACAGTTGTCTGTGATCCAGATGCTGGTGCTGTCCTGAACATAGAGTGCTGTATTATGAGGTATTTCATATGGTATTGAGAGTACATTATACAGCTTGTGTGCCTACTCACTCCAGAATCTCCCAAGAACCCTGTGAGAGCACATACATGCACTGAACATTACTGGGTAGTTCATCAGTGAGTGAATTTAATCAAGCCAGAAGTATCATTGAAAGTAAACCACAACATAAGGAGTAGAAGTTCATAAAGAGAGGCCTTCGCAAAAGGCCTGGGAGTGTAATACACTGTTCCATAAGGGTGTTGCACTTCACAATACACATATATGTAAAATTGAATCAAATTTAGTTTTAGTTTTACGTTAAAGTGCTTACTTAACTGAGATAAAATTCTGGTAATACTGAATTTGGGTATAAGGCACTGACTGCTTTATTTTAGTGATCACACCTGGCTGCTGCATAGTATCTGGCAGCTGAACAAAATGGTGGCTTCTCTTTGCTCTTCCCTCCTGCAAACATCACTTTATACTTCTCAGGTTCTGCACACTGGCAGACAAAGTTGGAGACTGCACAGAACGTTCTTCTATGTAAAGAAATTTTTGCCCAGCTCTCACGAGAAGCTGTTCAAATTAAATCACAGATTCCTCACATCGTAGTGAAAAATCAGATAATCTCCCAGCCTTTCCCAGGTAGGAAGCTTTTTAAGACTGTTAACCTACAATTATTTCCTTAAATACTGATTGATGTCATGTTTTTTAATGCTCAGTCCTTACAAAAGAAAAAACAAACTCCTTGAGTTTGAAAGGTTTGGAAAAACAGAATTTCAGCTAATGCACAGTAGTTTCTAATGTATTCTGTTTCCCTTTGTGGTTATGTTTTTTGTCAGCAGCACTTAAAACTGTCAGCTGTAATGCCATGTGCATGTGGCAGTGTGGAGCTGAGCATAAGTCATTGCTCCTGGATTGCATGTAAGAAGAAATTTAAGACTTGGGTTTATGGGCCCTCAGAAGAATAAAAAGCAAAAGCTCTTCAGTGAGGGTAATTAAACAGCATAAAGGTGGCTCAGAGTCAGTGGTGAATCCTCTGTTCTTACGAGGGATACACAACTGATTGTAGCATGCAAAGAATATATTTCTGGATTGCTTAAAATGTGTGTGATGGTTAATCACTCCTTCTTTGAGAAAGGAATGGGGTCCTGGAGGCTTCTTTTGTGTGGGATTGGGTTTTGTGGGATAAAAATTGATGCGAAATGCACCTGGTGATTTCACAGTTGTCAGCACTTGAGTGAATATCAAGTTTTACTTGGCTTTGTTACTGTGCTCTCCACCATCATTCTTTGATTTTTCTCTGATACAGTGAATACCTGTTGTTAAACTACTGAGTATAAAACATGAAGAAAAGCAGTTCTCAGTTAGCAGCCTTGAAAATTGTCGGTGCTCACTTTTTTAAATCTTTTTTTTCCATCTGCTGTGTACAGGTTTGCAGTTGTCTATTTCTCTGTGTCACTCTTCCAATGATAAAAAATCACAAAAAGCTGCTTCTGAAAAACAGAATCCAGAGGATCATCTCTATGTTCTGGAACATAATTTGCATCAACTTATCAGAGAGGTACTGCATCTATGGCTGAAGTACTGAAGAATTTTTGGGCTTTTGTTCAGCCTTCTGCCCAGTGTGTGGCACTGGTATATAACAGCTGAGTGCCACTAGAGGCCAGTCCTTCTCCATCCATTTGTGGAAGGCAGCCTACTGCTTGGGTTTCCGTGGGTGTGGGTGGTTTGGGAGTTCCAGTTAATGCTTTCATGGAATGTTAGTTCTTTACTTAACCTCAGACCTGACTGCTCGTTTTAGAAAAGCCACACAAAGCTTTTCTAGTAGAGTTCATCAGTTCTGCCATTTTTTGTTGTGTCTAATAGTGCTTACCAGGCACTGTCAGCAAACATCTGGTCAGCCATATCCTCATGAAGGAACAATCAATTGTCATAATACCTTTGTTTATTTGAATGTCCACTTCTCTGCTTCAGCATTTTAGATTCTTGAATAATCTAGCAGAACCTGGGGTATGAGGTTGAGGTTGTGTCTCTTCAGGAAAGAAGCACAGTTTTGCATCTCTAAGTAGAATTGAAAACATGTTCAGGGAGTGTTCACCTCCTTAGAGGTTGGCTTTGCAAGTCATGTGGAACAGTCTAGTACTTTAAACACTGATTTAGGGTTCATGAAGCTTTGGCTCAGTGCCCATCTTTCCTGTGGATTTGCTTTCTTTACTGTTGACGTATTGCTAAAACCTTTTGTTCTTAAACCTTTTTGTCTAAAATGCTTTCTTTATTTTTAAGTGACCATTCTTTCCGTTTCCATAGATGTATATAAAGAAGACTTATTAGCAGAAGGTACTGCCATAGTACCAAATTTTTGTTAGCTAGCACTTTATTTTTAAATTACTTTCTATAAGGTTTGAAAGACATATATAAATGGAGGAAGCAAAGAATGAAGAACTGTCTTTTAAGTGTCGTCAGGTTGATAAAGTTAAAAAGGTGTTCTTTTTGAAAGTATGTACACTCAAAAAATAGGATGTGAAGCAACATATTGTAGGATACATTTATTTCTTGCAGACACCTTATTTGGTCCCTTCCTTTTATATCTGTTGGTTGTTGCAGTGTCATAAGCAAACCCTGAGCTCAACAGTGATGCCACATCCAGCTAGTGCACCTTTTGGCCATAAGAGAATGAGACTTGCAGGGCCCCAGGCTTTCGATAAAAATGAAATCAGTTCTTTACAGTCAAATGAAGGACTTCTGGAAAAGATCATTAAACAGGCAAAGCATATATTTTTGAGACGAAGGTGGGTCACAATATACTCTTGTTACAGTAACATGTACCATTACATAGTATATAATTGATCTATTTCAAGTGTTCTTAAAACTAGCTGCTATTTCCTTCATGGTTAATATAGTCTTTTTTTGTAAGTACTAAGAACCAAAAATTATGAAGAAATATGAGAAAACAACATTCAGCTAGTAATAAGAAAAAATACCAGATTTCTTTGATATCTCTGTGACAGTTGTGACATAAGCTGCTGATAATTGTCCCTATTTATCTCACAGTGCATAAATCCTTTTTAGTATTCTTTGCAGTGCAGTAGCTGATAATGAATAATACAACTTCAATACTGCTGCAGAATGTATGAGAAATGTACAGAATAGACAACTGTACTTCATTAGCACCAGAACAATGCTGAAATGGAATTTTGATCCACGTGTTTCTGTTACATCTAATAACTTCCTTGCTTTCTGTGAGCAAGATGACAGCACAAACTGCCTGGATTATTGTGTGTGGAATATGGTTTTATCTTCCAGAACTGCTCGAACCATAGACAGTCTGGCGAGTCGTATTGAGGATCCTCAGATTCAGGCTCACTGGTCCAATATCAATGATGTTTATGAATCCAGTGTTAAAGTTCTAATAACTTCTCAAGGATATGAGCAGATATGCAAGTAAGTATGATAATGCATGTCCTGTTAGTTGTACAAGCATGAAGCAAAGGCAGTATGTATTCATATTGTGCTTTAAAGGTTTAGATTCTCTTCAGACAGATAAGTAGGAGTCCATTCTTTGTCTGTATTTGTTTTTCTGAGTTGACTATGGAGTGAAAAGTCACCCTAAGAAAACTTCACCCATTTTACCTTTTACTGAAGATATTTAGTACATCTTTAATTAGTACCATTTCCATTCAAAGAAGAAATTTGAGAGTGGATGCTTGCGGGAGATTTATTTTGGTTAGAGCTGACTGAATACAAAGTATTATTTGATGGTGCTGGATTCTAAACTTCCAGTCTTGTCATGGAAGACTAATCAGTGCTCAGTCCTAGCTCGGTTGCATAGGTACTGAAATGTGGAGCTCATGTAGTTCATGCAAAAGTTACGCACGTTGTTATCGAAATACAAGATGTGATGTTGCAGAAATAAATGCCTGCAGACTGACCAGCAGTCATTAATGCATCAACAGTGGGGGTTTTTTTTAGCAGTGCTCTCTGGCTGTGACCACAGTGTCAACCACAGGGGCAGCCTGCAGTCATTGATGCATTTCCAGTCTTGGAGTACATAAGCTGCCCAAGTCTTGTCTGTAGCACAGAACACACCATTTTCCCCTGCACAACTGGAAGGAAACTTGGGCACAGGGGCAGGCAGGGAGCTGTGAGGCTTCCTTGTCCTGAACAAATGGTAGGCCAGGTCTGGGAACATCCACAGAATATGGTCACCTGCCATATAGAGAGAGCTGTTGTGGTGGCTGATGAAACTGGAATGTTTGGAGTTGCTGTCCCATTCTGTAGTCTTTGTACCATCTGTCTTAGGGATTCTTGTCAATGATTGGGTGGGATTTTGTGTTCTTAGTTTCCTGTTTTTTTAAGTGTTTTAATGCTTTTTTAATAAATATGGATCTTGTTTTCAAAGATCCATTCAACTACAGCTGAACATTGGTGTTGAACAAATAAGAGTTGTGCATAGAGATGGAAGAGTTATTACATTGTCCCATCAAGAGCAAGAACTGCAGGATTTCCTTTTATCTCAGGTAGACTCACATATGTTGTTCTTCCCTTTCTTGTGATGTTTGAGAAACAGAAGAAGCTCGAATCTCACTTTCATCTATGTAGAAAATATTAAAAAGTTCAAATTAAGATAGTGAAGATGGGAAGCTGGATGACTGAATTTACTATATTTGTGTAGAGTCTTTACCTACCAACTGTTCTTAAAATATATAGCCATTTTTTACTAGGGTCAGTAGTCATGATAATTTTTCCCTCCAATTTAAAATGCATTTCTTTATGCTGCTCATTATGGGAGAAACAAGTTGGTGGTAATCATAGCAGACAATAAAGTATTCTATATATGAAACTTAGTGTAGCTAAGTTCTTAATGAACCATAATTACTGTCATTTCAGCATTGTCTGCTAATGCTCACTTTGCATCTGTCGTTACTAAATCAGCTGATACTTGAATGAACTCTGTTTTCTTAATTGCTTAAAACAACCTGCTGGTTTTATTCAGAAGTAACAATCTCCCCACCATGCATTATAAATAGTTAAAATGCAGGTCTTTAATAACAGTAGTTGGCCTTGTTGCAGTTATATAAAACTCCACAACACAGAAAACAAGTTGAAACAGATTCTGCTGAGGTCGTGTCTTTTTGCTCAAGTGTTGTCAGACCTGTTCAAAGAGAACTGCTGAATGGTGCTGGATACTTCCTTGTTACAAGGGTTAAGTCATGATACGGGAAAACAGTAGCATTTAAACTCCTAAGCTGTTAAGAGCTCAGTGCTTACACTTGAGCGTTAATGGAGATAATCATGCATGTAAACACCTCAACTTTTTTGCCTAATTTTCTCTGCTAATACTTTCTCATATTTTTATATATTTTACAGTAGAAGTCTTATTTCTATTGAAGGACAGAATTGTTTGCAACTAATTTTTTGAGACCTAAATAAAAATTTTTGTAAATAGATAGCAGCATTTAAATAGAATGGCTAAGTGCATATATCTATGAAAAATTAATTTAACTGCGCAATAGAGAGGTCTTTTCTTCTGTGGAGGAACTAGTCTAAATTCAAATAACACAAAGCTCTACCATCATATAAAAAAAGTTCTTCTGAAAGTAGACAACTTAAAGTCACTTCTATAAATAACTATTGTACAGAAAACAGGCTTGCTAAACTGCATAAGCAATTCTTTCTACAGTCTGCAAATACTGAACAGAAAACAAACCTCTTGTTATGTTTCAGATGTCACAGCACCAAGTACATGCAGTTCAGCAGCTTGCAAAAGTTATGGGATGGCACGTTCTGAGTTTCAGTAATCACGTTGGTCTGGGGCTGGTGGAGAGCATTGGCAATGCGTCAGCAATAACTGTAGCATCACCAAATGGAGACTATGCCATTTCAGGTAGTGTTCACTCTTGCAAACAGAAGTCTTTCTGAGAGTGTTTGTGTTATTTTGCTATAAATTGATACTATGCTTTAAAAGTCTAGAGACTATTTCTTTTGTGTATGGAATTGACATCTAAATAGAATCAGCACCTTGGCCAGGAAGCCACTTAATATAAACCTGATTTAATTTACACAGGCTTGAAAATATTTCTTACAGTTACCATGGAAAATAACATGTATTCTATAATATGTATTATATTAATACATTGTTTAAATATATTATTTTGATAAATATTATATAAATGTTTGTTTCTATAATTATATATAATTAATTATATGTATTATTATTAGCATAGAAAAAAGAGATTACAGAAACCATCAGGATCCTTAGAGAAGGGAACAAGATAAACAGATCACAACTCCAAACTTAGGGAGAACAGTTTTGGTCTCTTCAGGGATCTTTTTTGAAAGAATCCTATGGAATATGATCTTATGGGATGGAAAGAAGAGGGGTCCAGGAGTGCTGTTTGATTATTGTTTTCGAGGGTCACCTCTTTCAAGCTCAAGAATGTTCAGGAAGCTGTGCAAAGGTGACAGAAGACCTGTGTGTATGAGCAAGGAGCCCGTGGCTGACAAAGGCAGGAAGCTCCAAGAGATTATTAGTTGTCCTGGGAGGGATATAGAGAGACTATCCAAGCATGCATTGGGTAAGGATAGGAAAGCTAAGGATAGGATAAGAATCTGGTGGGGGATGTACAGGGCAGCAAGAAGAGCTTCAATAGGGATGTCAGCAGCAAAGGAAAGATTAGGGAAAATGTGGGACTGCTGTTAAACAGAGACAGTACCTGGTGGCACAGGACATGGAGGAGGCCAAGGTACTCAGTACCTTCTTTGGTCTTAAGACTGGCCTTCAGAAATGGATCTGTGAGACCCATGGGAAATTTTAAAGCAAAGATTCGGTCTCACTAGTGGAAGTTCAGGTTGGAGAACCTTTGAACAGACTTAGACATACACAAGTTCGTGGGACCACGTGGGATGTATATCTATAACTGGTGAGGGAGTTGATAGATGTCACTGCAAGGCCACTCTTGATCATCTCTAAAAGGCCAGGCTCAGGAAGGGCTCCCGAGGACTGGAAGAAGGCAGATGTTACATCCTGTATTCTAGACGGAAAACGTGGGGAACTACGGTCTGATCAGCCTCATTGTGATTATTGGGAAGATGAGTTGGAAAAAAATAGTCTCAGAAGAATTCTCCAAACATACTGTGGAGAATGTGGTGATGAGAAGTAGTTGACATCAATTTATGAAAGAGAAATTATGTTCAATCAGCCTGATAGTCATCTCTTTATAGAGGGTTAGCTTGGGGGAAAATCTAGGCAGTACTTTGCTAACTGTTGATTTAAAAAGTCAACACACACCACTCCCCAGCGTGAAAACACAGAAACCCAAGCCAATGAAGCACCACCACCCCTCCACCAATCTCACAGAATTTTGTGATTAAAAGTAACTGCCTAATTACTTAGATCTGTCTATTTGAGATAAATCCCCTAGAAACAATACATTTTTCAACAGAATAGTGGGCAACACATCAAAAGAAAGAATGAGCAATGAAGCTTTTGTCCTTCCTGGTGTCACTGGGGAAAAAAGAAATGCATTTGTAAGGTGTACATTTTGGGGCTTATTAAAAGTTTCTCTGTCTTGATCTAACCAAGAACCTGCAGTGCGAAAGCAACAAAATCATAGAGAAAGTGGGAGATGAGAAAGTCCAGAGAAAAAGCTTTGAAAAAGGAAGAGAATTTCCCTTTTTTGTTTTCAGCATGTTTGGAATTGAGTAGGAGTAAAGTATAGAATATACAAGGAAGAATATTTAGTATGGGGAATTCATACAGTGTAAAAATGCTCATTGAAATCTCCTTTTCCCACAGTCCGTAACGGTCCAGAAAGCGGCAGCAAAGTCATGGTTCAGTTTCCACGGAGCCAGTGCAAAGATCTCCCCAAGGGAGATGTCCTGCAGGACAGCAAATGGAATCATCTCCGGGGGCCATTCAAGGAAGTTCAGTGGAATAAAATGGAGGGGCGTAACTTTGTGTATAAAATGGAACTTCTCATGGCTGCCCTAACTCCTTGCTAGTGAAGCATCAGCCCCTCTCTGAGGGCTTTGAAGTGTCTTTGTGCAATGATAAATGCCAGTGCAGCAAGGGGAAATGGGAGCTATGGGCCAATATAAGAAAGCGAAATCAAATTTATTTCCTGTACAGAAAAAGCCATTTTGGTATTTATAATAAAACCTTTTTCAGTGACATATAATATACATCTAATTTTTTGTAAAAGTTCCTTTCAGCTGTATCTTTGAAATTTGCTCTGTCCACGGAGTGATAGATGAGTAATTAATGTATTTTTTGTTTGTAAAATTAAATTTGGTAGTCCTTGAGTTGAAGCATTCTTGAGTTGGAATTTTTGTACATTGATGGGGATTCTGGGTGACCCCTTTGTTTTTGAAAAATATGTTTACTTGGCAGTTTAACTTCAGAGTGTTATGAAGTCACTGCCTATGGCAGAAGTCTTTCCTCTCTGATGGCCTGTGTCATGTCGGCTACTTTGCCTGTTTTTTGACCTTGTTTTTTACAAGAATATAGAAGAAAGGGTCTTATTTGGCTTGCAAAGTTCTGACAATTTGAGTTTGTGGGTGATTTGTGACTGGATAGAAGGAGGTAACTCTCATGCTGTAGACCTCCACCCTTGAGTATCTGGGTCTCTCTCCTGCATTCTCCATGATTATCATTCAGAGAAATAATAGTATCTTCCCAAATATCACCTCCTTAGAGATCTTTCAAAATAAAAAAGTCACTTTTTTTATAGTTTTGGTTGTAATTCTTGAAATTTACAGTATGGTGTTCAACAAAGCTTTCATTTTGTTTGGTACTTAAGTACTAAGTGTCATTTTGCAACCTGTTTATGTAAACTGGTTCGTATTCATGTCCATGTTGTCTCATGAGATATCTGTCTATATGTATATATATGAACTTCTTGCACATAAACATGGTCAAATTGAGCATCACACTTCCATGGTGACAGTTGTTATTTTGTTGTATTCTCAAGTATAAAGAATAATTGTAGGCAAATAAGCAGCAAGCTGCTGCTCAGCAGGTATCCAAACAGTTCTTGCACTTATATTGGTGTTGGCCAGCACGCAGCATCTCGTTTCAGTTCCTGGAAGTATTTGCTTCTGTGTGACTGAACTAAGAGAGAGAAAGGGTTTTCCTTTCAAGTGCTCATGTGTTAGCCTAGACAACTGTTGAAAATTAAAAGCCCTAGTTGAAAGTAAGTCTCTTGATCTTGAAGCAGGGCTTAGCAGGGCTGTTTTGCTGTGCCAGCAGACACTGTATGATTACAGGCAGAGGGGGGGTTGTGCCTTGGCAAACAGTTGAGCCAACAGCCTGATGCATGTATTCATGCATCCAACTAGATGAGGCTGTTCTAACTCCTGCTAACACAACAAATCTCTTATTAATAATTAGAAGATGAGTCTATGAAACTTGAACGTGTCTTTACAATTCATTGTTCTTAACCTAAATTGACAGGTCTGCATGTAGCAATAGCCTTTTAATTGAAGTTTCTTGTTACAAGTAATCAGATCACTGTGGAGCTATTACAATCTCATGGTTGCAGGACTTCTCTCCTGAAAAGAAGGACATATCCTATGTTGCAGAACACAAGCTCTGCATGTTAGCATGAAAACACTTGTCAAGACTTCTAGGGCTAGCTGAAAAAATAAGAACAATAATAATAACATGAAAAAAAAGAGTTATTAGAGACCTGGAGAGTCTGTGTTTTGGTGTTGAATACACAGGAATTCCTAATTTTAATGGAAAACAGACTAATTAGACATCTGACAAACAGTCTTGAAACTTGGTAGTGCATCTTTGAATATGAAATGGCGACATTACTAAATGATTAAGACCTTTTCAATTGATTGCCAAAACAATCTGGTGAACTTGGACATCTCTCTAATTCAAGTTTAAAAGTAAAATGTCTTAATCCCTTAGATCATCCAGTATGCTCTAAATATTAAATTTGCTGCTGTTCTGCAGGGAGTTTACAAATACAGTAAGAACAGCTGTTAGTTTCTGAATTTCTACTGTAACAACCTTCCATAAGACTTCAGATGCTCCAGGGTAGCAAGAAACTGCTACAGTTTATCCTCACATTCTGTACCTCAAATATTGACCTTAATAATGCATAGTGACAAACATAGTTTTCAGGAAAATGTGAGTATTTTTAAAGTAATGTTACCTGTGTAAAGTAAGTATGTTAAATTGAGGGCAAAATTTTTGGGTGAAGAATTGTCTATAAAGAAAGCTACATACAAGCTAACTGTACTGGATGTTCTGACTGAATACTTGGAGTCCCTGCTATTCATATAGGATATTACTGCCTAAAAGTGAGGTTGGCACCAGGTTTAATAGCCAAGAATGGGTGCCTGATGTCGCAGTGACATCAGCCAAGCTGAAAGAGGTAGAAGAACTTTGCTAGTTGTAAACTTCTTTTGTTGTAGTACATGTTAAACTGAATAATTTTAAGTGTTCATTTCCTACTTTCCTGCCAGCTTTCAAACACTGTGGTTTAAATTTGTGTGTGAGCCTGCAATCACAGCAGTGCACTGGAGTGGTCATTCATTGTCTGGATATGTTTCCTGATTTCCTCTGGCAATTGCAGCATTCAGGTCAGTGTTAGCAGATGATAGTGGTTTTATGTGTAAGCTGCACTTCTTGTACTTTCTAAGTTTGGCAGAGCATCTGCTGTATATTCTGCTGTATATTCAGCTCAACCTAGCTTCACATTCAGAGTATTTTAATGCAAATACTTTCTGCCTTAAAAGTCTAAGATTCCTTCAAAGTCTAGGATTAAGGGCTCAAAAAGAACCCCTAACAATGTTTTCCATACTCTATAAGCATACTTTACCAAGTAATTCAAGTATGGTGATTGAAATAGGTGCACTTACAGTTTCCCTGTTGTCAAAGCTTAGTTCACTCAAAGATACAAAAATGGGCAATATACGTTTAAAGCAGAGAATTGGAATAAACTGTTATTTGTCTGTGCTGTATCTGACACTGACCTGTTCTAGATGTAGGAATGAGCAAACAGCTGAATCTGGTACCTCAATTTATGAGTGGGAGAGAGGCCTCACACAAATGGCCAGCTCAGTATGGGATAGTTTAAAGGTATTGTGCACAGGGTGCTTTGGCTTGTTTGGCACCTACCTGCTTCATTATGTACTTGGTAAGAAATTCCCTGAATGTTTTTCCAAATGGAGCCCATAGCACCTCTGTATTTGAGCATCCCAGTCCCTGACCAGAGGCAAAGCTCTGTCAGCCTGCCCTGTAAAGGTTTTTGCAAATAAGTGAGACGAAGTGTCAGAAAGGCAGTAGCAGCAGTTTGATTCAAACAGCAGCGTGGCAATCTACAGGCGCAGACTAGTCCACGATGTCTTACAAGTTCAAAGTTTATTTCACACTGCAAAATTCTCATTACAAAAGCAAAACAGAATAATTTGGAACTCGGTTTACTGCCTTCTCACCGACAAACACAAATGTTATTCCACCCAACAGATATACAGGTGGAGAATTGCAATATGTGCAATATGCAGATCCAAGAAAACATTAGTTGGGTCACTGCTACAGGTCACTTCATGTTTTCTTACAACATAGGGAAAACAAAGGTGGCACTCAACAAAAGCAATTTTAAGTAAAGCTGTTGTAACATTTCTTCTCAGATTGTTAGCACTGGGCTAAGTTTGCAAAGAACTTGGCATCTTTCACAACAGAACTGTTTAGTATTTTGCCACCCCACTGGTGGTGTTGTGTCAGTATTTTATCTGACCCCTCTAATCTTTATAGACAATGTCCTCTTCAGTGCCTGCCTGCAATGTTCCTTGTACAACCACCTGCTCCAGTAACGTCATAAAATCTATGTTAACATCCATCCTGGGGCAGTGTGTAAACAACTGGAAACACAAGCAGGACAACTTTGACCAGCTCAGCATTCTTTCAAAGTCAGTTTTGTCTCATGAAAAATTGCAGCTTGTCTTCAGAGCTTCAGGAAGTTCCTTACACCCAAAAGTAGCAGCATAGGTGCAATAAACAGGATTCAATGCTTGCAATTAATTTTTTAATGTAATACTGTAATTAGATATTTATTATGTTGATGGATGCTAATGACCACTCTTGTCTGTAATAGGAGACTTGCAGTATCCAAAATGCAGGTGTCCTTCAAGACCATGATAATTTCCTTTATGGGTTGATCTTACAGACTTGCTTGGTTGGTTGGTAGGTTGGCTGTTTTTAAGAGTGGTAGAGGCTGTAGATTTTATTAGCTAGCCACAAAAATGTGTTCATGCTCAGCATGAAAGCATACTCTTTTTTACTCTGACCTTGACTAGCAGAACCAAAAACTTAACAGGTTGAAACAGCTCCATCAGACACTGCTGATTTAATTACTGTGCAAGTCAGGATGTTTCTGCAGTAGTCACAGACATTTTACCTTCTAGGTTTGTTTTTGCTTTCTTGGCCAATACTTTCCCCTGAGGTAGAACTGTTATTTTTATTATGATGCAGTCCTTGGCTAACACTCAATGGTTTCCAGTTCAATCTCTTCTGTTGTACTTGCTGTAAATGAAAGGATATTGTTATTGATTGGCAAATGGATTGGAAGGCCAACATTCCAAAATTAACTGTGCTGAGACATTTTTAACTTTTTAATAAAATTAGCTCAAGCTTTCTCATCTAAAATTAGATTTTAAATACATCTTTTCAAAATATTTAACTGTATAAAGAGGTTCTCACAATCTTTAAGTACAAGGCTAAAGGCAGTAAGAAAACTAAGTCCATAGGGACTGTTCTTCTATCTCTCTTCATGACTTCTGAAAGGAGGGCTCTTCTGAGATAGAATTGGGGCAGAAATTAGGTATCTGCTTTGGATCATTTCCTGGGACATCACATAAGTTTCTAGAACTGTGCTTTCCTGAACTCTGCCATATGTTACATGAATATGTCTGTTCTGTTCACCTCTGTGGCAAAATTTGCTTTAGCTGATGGAAGAGGCTTTACCTAAACAAAATCCTGTATATTGTGCCATGATAGGACAGTTTTCAGCAGGTACAGAAGCTTGTGAATAGTGTATGCACCATGAAAACAGCAGTAGCCCTTAAGAGCTGTAGGTGAGCAACAGAAAGGAAGAGGCAGCTCAAACCAAGTTAATTTCTTCTATTGGGTTTTGCAGAGTTGACACAAAGTCTAGGCCGTGAATCTTAGGATGCTTGAGTGTCTCTGTTGGTCCTGTAAAATACTGGTAGCTGGGCTGCTTGTTGTAATGTAACACTAATTACAGGAGAAATACAGACCTTTTATCTAGAGGGCAAGAAACCACAAGTGGATCTGCACTTACAAAGAAGAGAGGTAAACATCAGAAATATTTTGAAATGGTAACAGAAACCTCCCATTTCAAAGATGTGCCTAAGAGCTTGATCCCAGGCCTATAATGTGCACCTTGTCTTTCTGCCTAGGCCAAATATCCCTGGTGGTGATTTGGAAATTTTTTCTCTAATATGTCCCTTCAGTGTAGCTCTTGTGTTCCCTTGACCTGTTTTTCATGACTGCTGTCTTCAGTGTCAGATTTTGATATTACTCAGTGTTCATTGGAGTCTGCAACTGGATCAAAAGTGAACAGATGAAGAGGGGGTTTGAGAAGATGCAATCCTCCACTGAGGATTGAACTGAGGTGGGGGCCACTCCCAAAGGTCATTTGAATATTTTCCCCTAGGATACACCCTGATGATGTGAACTCTCAGAGAGTTGCTGATGCTCTTGACTTTGTCTTCTGCCCTTTGATGGGGCTTATTGCAGCTCTGGCCTTTTCTCCCCAAGTTTTGCAATTAGCAGTTTTGAGAAGTATTTTATGATTTCTAATGTGAAATATATAAACTAGATGTCCTGTGGACTGTTCTTCAACTAAACACCTGCTATTCAGTTGCCTCTGCTAGTTAGAACAAGGAATTAGAACAA